TCTCGGGTTACAGTTCTCTACTGTTCGAGGCCAGGACAGGAGTATCGCGAACCAAGACTTTATCAGGCCAAATACGAAGGGGTAGACACGGTATGCAGTGCGTGTGGAGAAGACGAAGAAACTGCCGAACACTTGATAATGTACATACCTTGCACCTACGTCACACCACGTAACTCTGCGATACTATGTGGGCATGCGCAGCCACGGCCGAGCACATAGCAGCAGACGGCACCAAGTTAAAGCTGTGCTGCACTCGCATCTCTCGCAAACGCGGTGTACGTTCGCAATGGCGATTTGTGCGGTATATGTCTGCCGCGCGCTAAGCAAGTGCAAGTCGCACCGGTATGAAGCCGACGTGAGAATGTTGTGCTTGCCCAAGGTCGTCAAACACCAGTGCTACCGCACAAAAGAGCTGTCCGGGGCGAAGGAGGACATGGCTTGCGCGCATCAATCGAAGGACCTCAAGACACTGAACAACGCTCGTGTGCGCTGGGCGTCACTTCTTAACAGGAGTTATGTTACGGATCTCCTCACATTTCCACTCAGGTGAATCACCGCGGATAAGTTCGTCAAGGCACGATTTTTTGTCGAAGGGTGATGCATCTAAACGCGCCTTACTTTTCAGCAAGACACGCTAACCTCTGCGATGACACGAACCCTGATTGCGTGCTGAACACATTGTTGGGCCATGGTTGTTCAGAACAGCCAGGCGCCGAGATCCTGCACGGTTTGAGCGCCATAAAATTAGGCGACTCATGCGAAGTTGCCTCACCCAGCGCTTGCGAAGCCATGTACGCGGCCGGCACGGAATATTCGTGTTTCCCAGCCAGCACTGCTACCCAAGGCTGCAGTGTTACAGTGTGAAATGCGGAGCGCATTAAATCTCACCTGACTATAGCCCGACGACAAGCCGAGAAGGCAACTTCTTGGTTCTGATGTGCCGGACCCATCCGTTGGTGAAATGATTGTGAGAGTCCAGCGAGTTATACGCTTTCATCTGGTCAAGTGAAACATAATTCGTCGACAGTACTGAGTGATTCATAATGAAGACGTGGGTGACTGTCGGAAGCAGGCTTGTATCGAGGCCGGCTTGAGCACCAACCCGCAGCTCGCACGGATCTACGCCGTCAGGCAGGGCTATTTTTTTCCCTATATCTGGCCCGCGTTGGCCCGACAAGTTTGTCAAACTAAGCAGGACATTGTCCTGGCCGATTCTCTATAGCCAGACGGGCAAGGCAAACGATGAAAACACACGCACAAGGCCAAACAACCCGCCGCGCGAATGTAAACACGGCGCGGTGACAGAGACGTATCATGGAAGTATCAAGGCGATAGTTATAGCGCGAGAACAAAACGACGACACAGAGACAACAAGGACACGAAATACACGTGTCGTGTCCTTCTTGTCTCTGTGTCGTCGTTTTGTGTCATGTCCTTCTTGTCTCTGTGTCGTCGTTTTGTTCTCGCGCTATAACTATCGTCATGCAATACCAACTAGCCCAAGCTGCCACACTTCTAAGTTACGTATCACGGAACACGATACGTATGTGCTCGGCTAGAGTGTACTAGTACCTGGAAGGTGTAAACTGGTATGTGTTCTGTGCTAGTACACTGTAGCTCAGCCAAGGAGGTAATACTAACAGTTCAGGAGTGGCAAAGGGGCTCCACGGCTGAAGCCGACGCGCCGCCATATTGGTCAGGGCAGAACTTGGATGGGCGCATTTTAGTGTACGTGGCTTTCCCATTGATTTTGTGCGAGTAATGTTCCGTGTGGTGCTTCTAATTGAACAAAATGGTTCTGAACGCTTCTGTGATCACTCTTCGAGACGGCGATGTTGGGCTCTTGGGTAGCACTTGGCTGCGCGAATCGCGTGAAGCGGACACCGGGCACAACTTTCGATGTGTAAGTAGGCATGCTTCGCGCGCTCGCTTTTCCTCGCACATTTTCGCGACTACAACTGCATTCGCGAGTACATAAGTTTTCTTTTTGCATCCGAGTGCACAGAGACACTTTGAATAATTTATGTACGTTTTAAGTAACTTATGCACATAAAAAATTTTATGTAAACTATGTACGAAACGCACGGCCGCAAGCACCTAGAGCATTATGGCGCTACAAAACAGGCGCCGCCTCCTTCTGCCCTGAGCAATGCGCCGCCGCGGCTTCACTTTCATGACGATAGTTATAGCGCGAGAACAGAACGACGACGCAGAGACAATAAGAAAACTAAGGACACGAAGTTCCTTCTTGTCTCTGTGTCGTCGTTCTGTTCTCGCGCTATAACTATCGTCATGTCATACCAACTAGCCCAATCTGCCACACTTCTGAATTCACTTCGATACATGGGCGGGCATGCGGCGGGCATGCGGGACCACCACTTCAAGCTTTAGTAAAACCTCCTTGTGCTCGGCCAACGCCTTCTCTAGAAAGATGCCTGCTACTTGAGTCAAAAAGCTGGTTCCCGGGCCTCTTCTGTTCACTTGTTCTCCGCTCCCCAAATAGATGGATGAATAAATGGATTGATGTGGCTGTACCACAGAACACCTATACACTACAATTTGATGTACCCTTTAGATCGGGCGGCGGCTAACGCCACCTAGCCGTAATACATATTGTCGTAATAAATAATACATATTGCCTTAATACATAATAAATATATCGGCTGCAAGCACTCACTGCGGCGGCCACTTTGAACAATGTTGCCTCCGAGATTAAATTAACGTCTACTGCCGTTTTGGAGCCAACACAGTCTTGTCCTTAAAATGGCGTCACTTCAAAACCAAGAAAAAGTAGTTGGATGGATAAATTATCATGGCTCTACCATTTAGATTAGGCGGCGGATAACGCTACCTAGCCACAATACTAAGCAGTGTCGTTTGCGACCGCTCCGTGCAGAGAAAACACTGCACTATGAGGAATCTTTCGTCCCCATAAGAAAGCGTGCAAAGTCGCAGGCATCTTTCAAGAGGAGGCGTTGGCTGGCCCATGGCTAGAGTAGAGTATCTTCTAGTTCACTGTAGCTAGAGTGTACTGGAACTACAGTGCCTTGAATGTACTGACATTCTAGGCACTACACTAGAACAATAACCATGGCGGATGCAAAATAAAAAAAACTGATCTCACGTGAGGATGGCGCAGAGTTTTTCATAGCAGTGGGGTTTAGACATAGAGTTAAGTTTGTATATTAGCTCTATTAGTTTAGGGACATGGAGGGCAAAATAGACTTTAAGCGGGTAGAAAACACTAAGAGACGGTTATTTTATTGTTGGCTACAATCAAGGCACGAAAGAAAATTGAATCCTTCACTGTAAATGAAACTTCATAACTTCACTATTTAAAGAGAAAAAAAATATATAAATCTAGTTTTATTCACTAAGAATTACGGCTAGGTAGCGTTAGCCGCAACCCAATCTGAAGGGTACAACGTATTATTCAATCCATCTATTATTCATATGGCGCTGCGTCATAAAGGATCACGGAGGAAGAAAAGGTTTCTTCCTCCGTGTGAAGGATAAATTTCCTTCCTCCATGCGCTAATTAAAGGTAGAGTGTACTAGAACAATAAAGTGCTCGGAACGGCCGCAGCACCATTGCATTTATGGTGAAGCCCAAACAGGGTCAGTCCGCTTGTGGCGCTGCGATCGGTAGCCTGCAATGTGTCGACAGTGTCGCTGTGGTAGGATGACAGAATGCTCGCTTCCCATACAAAAGATCCGGGTTCGAACTCCAGCTGTGGACGGTTGATAGTTTTTTATTCTCAGTTTCACTTGTACAGTTGTACTGGTTTCCTTTTTTTAAATATAACTTAAATTGCTACACTGTATCCGAAACATCACGCGATATGTAAAGAAGAAACGACAGCGAGCGTAGAAACCTGACCTGAAAAAAAAAACAATTAGTAGGAATGACGCAATGCTGAAAGTTTAGGGCAAATTCACCTTATAATCGGCCAATCCCCTTCTTTGGGTACGAGCCATTTGCACAGGGAAACAACAACAACAAACCTGACCTGACCCGACCGGCGGATACCGGCGGTTCCCCAGTACTACAGTGAACTAGATAGGTGTAGTGGGACGAGGCAAAGTAGTCAAGGCGGCGTTGGCTGAGCGCGCGCATTCCGTACAAGAGAGGGTGGCCGCGCATGTGATGGCTGCACTTAGATGCCACAAGCGGCGCTGCGTGTCGAGAGGGTGCAGTTGATTTACTCAGGAACCCCCGCTCGTTAGGTGCAGCTTTTTCCCAAGTTGCTAAGAGCGCATTGATAACATGCTTGTAGCTACGGACGATGAATCTTTCGTCGAAATGAGCTTCGCACACAACGCAGTTCTTTTCCAGTGGTTTGTCAGCGCGAGCAATCCCAGGCTTTGCGCTGTTCATCGTCGGTGGGAGCAGAGAAGAGACACTTCGTTTGTTTGCAGGCCGAAGCATATCCCGCATTGCATCCAGGTGCAAAGCATTGTCTTTGCTGTTTACTCATCACTGTTGCATGGTCACATTGACACGTATTGATCCCAAAGAAGGCCAAATAGGCAAAGCGCCGACGTTGCGGCTTGCGAGCACACGAGCAAGCGATTAAAGTGCCGCGCTAGCGGCTGGCAAGCGCTCTTGAACGATCACGGTGGCGACTTGCGCGGCGCTTCACGGCCGAATTAAAAATACCAGCCGCCTCCTTTCAAGGCGCGGCTGGGATGATGCTGACACCTCTCCTTTAGCCACCCTAACGATACCTAGGCTACAGTGTACTAGGAGAATTCTAGTACACTGTAGCTTAGGTATGGTAGAAGTATTCTAGTACACTGTACCGAGGTAATGCCCACAATGTTGCCAGCAAAAAAAAAATGATGCACAATGCTGCCCACTATAAAGTAGCCCTCTTTTTGCGCATGCGCGAGAAATCTAGGGACGTTTGCGTCGTGTTGTTTAGGTACAATCGAGACAGACGATATCACAGAACACCTCGATATTTCGTGCATCTGTCCTTGGCGCTGGCCACAGAACACCTACCAGGCGCTGGCGTACATGTTGTTGTCTCAAGCTCGCGCCCTGCTGTTCTCTGGCCTTGCTCGAGTGAAGTTTTTCTTACACCGTGCTTTGTCTCAGTAAATCGTACATCTTTCTTGTAGACAAGGTAGCACGCAAATCACTGCCCCGTAGACATTTCGTCTACACCGGGGTGACTGTACTACTTGCTCGATCGACAGACGTAGCGAGCTGCGGTGAGCTGCCTTGCCACGAAAGGTAAGCAGTCAATTGTTTAGTTGTCCTCTGCGCGGTTGATCGCTATCCAATATGTAATGGCCAGAAATACCTATCATATCAGACAGCGTGACATAAAGAGCTATGCTGCCGGGATTCGAGAACACTTTCCCAGAGGCTTCCAATGTAGATAAGCATTAAAGTGATGAATTCTTAGGCGCCTGTTATAGCATCCTGAAAAATTGTGTAAGTAGCTCCGAGTCATCCTCTAATCACGCTTATATGCGACAATGGCGAAGTTAAACTGTGTTTCTCGTCGGCCATTAAGGATTTGAGAATAACGCTGGTGTAATTGTAATGGCCCCAAATGATTAGGTTGCGCACGCTTTTGTGGAACCGTACTGCGCTTAGTTCCCATAGAAAACAACAATCATTGCTTCAAGCGCGTTAAAAGAACAGACACCTTTGTTCTCCGTAGCACACGTACAAAGACAGTGAGGCCGAAATTGTCAATTTCAGTTTAGTAAATTTGTATTTACTGTGTGCTTCTCCGCAGTGCACGTGCACGGCTGTGAAGCCGAACGTGTGCATGCCGGTTAGGTCAATTTGTAATTGACTTTACCTCATGCTTCTACGCAGCACACGTGCATAGCAGTGAAACAACTTGTTAATGCATTGCATCGTTTGCTTTTTTTGCAGGCATAGAGGCGAGCGTTCCGAGTTAATAACAGTGCGTATTTTCCTTTACGTTAATGGAACTGGAATTTTTCTTGAATTATGTGGAGGAATTTGTCATTTACTTGCCACCAAAATCCGAAACTATCATATTACAGGAGAACACGTCATTTTTGGTGCTCTCTACAAACTGCTGTACCAAGAAATCGACATGGAGGCTGCCCCTCATGCGAATACATACTGGGCGACAGAAGCGCCATGGGCTGAATCTGTAAGCAACTATTCAGTCGAGCTGTCATCCTCAAAGCCCAGAGATCGGGATCACGCATTGACCCAAATTTACTGACACACTCACTGCTACGCTCCTCAGTGTACAGAGTTAAGTGCGCCTGGAGCGTAGTGGTGCCAACACTTACACATATTATGTACGGGTGTCCTTAATGTCCCAGCGAAGTGAACTCAATACAGACCACCACAATACCACATCGGTCGTTAGAAATGCAACTTTCTGAGAAAGACTTGAAGAGCCTAGTGGTTGCATTGGACCAGGCCCCATTAAGCAGGTAGTCGATGAAGCCCTAAGAGCCTTTCGCTCTGAAGAACGCTTCAGCTATATAAATGGTCCCTCTATTCTTGCTACAGCCCAACATACGCAAGCTTGTTTGGACAATTTGCTTTGCTAACATCTGTGGCATCCCCTCCAGGTCCTTTTACACCAAAGCCTGCCAGAGACACTAGGAAGCTTTCGCTTCTCAAAGTTTGTTTACTTTCAGCTAGAATCTGATTTTTCAATATAATCTACAGAGTAAACTGCTTTAATAAATTGAAAATATAGCATCTCAATTGATTTAACAAAACTGCAACCAAAAAGCAAATGGAACGGCGACTGCAATGTAGTCTTTCATTATTAAAGCGGCAAGTTGGGCTTGTAAATACATTATTCTGGTGCACTGCAGCACAATTTAATACACTGAACAGTTCGGGTAGTTAGTGGCTTATGCTTGAATGTAGAAACAGCACAAAATTACAGACAGATAGGTGGAAGAAGAGACGACATGGCAGTGAACTCGCAGCTAAAATTTATTATAATGAACACACATCAATCAGGCAGAAGACCTAGTCACATGGCACACCATGGCGACTGCACAGCATGCCTTCGTCTTTGTAATTTTGTGCTGTTTATCGCAAAAGATGTTATGAGATCAAAACTTGGGTCACGTGCCACGTTGGTTGTCCACCGCCGCCGGTGTCCGTAATCAATATCCCGGGTAAAAAAAAAAAACCTAGTACCAAGGACACAGTGGGACTCGAATACGGGTCCGCTGCGTGCCTGCCCAGTATTCTACCACTGAGCCACGCTGGTGCTTCAGGCTTGTTCGCTAATTCGCCTCAGGCAGGCTTGATGTCGGGAAAGCAATCGCATTAATATGAGTAATAAAATGTTTTAAAACAGCAAAAGAACAACCAGTCGTCGCACAATGCAAATAGCGTAACGAGTGGATCATCCACTGCTCCAACCCATTACAAAAGCTTGTTCTTGATCACCTATTAACTGTGGTGCATACCCACTTCAGGCAAAAATCGTCGTCGTCAGCCACTGCATGATCAGTTGGCACAAAATTCCTTGCAAGTGTTTAGCAAATACCACGCTTCTCAGAAGAATGATGAAAAATAGCGTAGCAAATGCCGGCCTACTACCCAGAAATTATCATTATAATACCGTAGTGCATACCCAGCAAGTGTGCTTGCAGCAGTTACCCAATGAGTGTTTAGAAAAGGCCCTGAAAGGCCGCTGTTCTAGCTTTCGCTGTGACTGTGCTGTGCCTTCCACGAAGGCCTGGCGTTTTTTTTACAGCCAAGCATGCCTTAAAGTCGAAATCATGCTTTTCTAGAGTCCAAGCAGTTTATCCAGCTGCCCTTCTTTTGCAAAGGTACGCGGAGTGTGATGCTCTAGTGATAGCGCACACAGTCATATGGCAAGATGCGAAAATTCGAATGTATCAGATTTCCAAGAACTGCAATTGGTTTTACTAATGCAAAAAAAAGAGAGATGCAGATATAAAACTTACTAGACAGATCAGTAAGGTTGTGAGCTGGGCTAGTTTGTGACCGATTATTATGTTGTATCGTTAAGTAGCACACTTTTGGCGTGGACAAAGGGAACAAGAATGTCGTGCCTTTCTTGCCCCCTTTGTCCACGTGGAAAGTGAGCTACTTCATAATATGGTATAATGATTAGACTACTCTGTCTCATCATTGTGGAAAATATTCACAAGCATAATTTCAAATAGGATACGAGGCACACTTGACTTCAAATGAACCTTGAAACGGTTTTTGAAATCTTGTAAGAATTTGGGCTACATGATCATTAAATGAGTTGAACCACTAATGAAGCCACATACTGTGCATCAAGGCAGCTACAACCAACTATATTTATGCTCTCCTTTTTGACACTGCTTTGCCTCCTGAACTTGTCGAAGAACCAGCCATTGCTGGCGACTGCAGGGCGCTCGACGGGTCAGGCCCCTCTGAATGCGCCGTCGGGCAAGAGATTGATTGATATGTAGGGTTCAGCGTTCCAAAACCATCATATGATTGAGAGATTGATAGTAGAGGGCTCTGGAAATTTCGACCACCTGGGGTTCTTTAACGTGAGCCCGAATCTGAGCATACAAGCCTACAGCATTTTTGCCTCCATCAAAAATGCAGCCCCCGCAGCGGGGGTTCGATCCTGCGACCTAACAGCCAGCAGCCACAGCAGTTAGCAGTCACCTTAGCCAATTGACGACCGTGGCGGGGTAGCCCGCTCGCTCTCCAGGCATTGTCTTCACCCGGATCAATTCTGTGCTACACTTTTAAGAAGGTCATACAATTTTATCAACTATTGCTGTCACATATACCCAAAACCCAATAGGGCCCTCTGGAAGGCCGAGGCGCGAATCGTCCTTTGTTGTAATACGAAAACTGTTTTGTGCCTAGGAATAGTATACACTTTGACCCCATTTGCGTGGGGAACTGCCAGCACTTCGAGAAAAACTTGACATTTTCCTCGTGGTATGGTTGTACCAAAAGCTCCAAACCTAACCCCTTTTACCCTACCCACCTAAAAAAGACTGAGGTGCAGGCTTGCTTGGCTGCTCCGACCCGACTGCCTAGTGGGCCTAGGTCATCCCTGACATCATTGGAAAGGTATGGGGCAGTTTCTTGAAGGGCCCCTAAATCTCCTCCAATATTTTTTCAAACACTCAAATAAACACGCGCATCGTACGCAGAATGTTATCACGATCAACGATGCCACACGTGATAGCACTATGAGTCGTCGGTGTGCCACAAATTCCAAAAGAACAATCCGTGCCTTTCCGGCCTCCTTGTGACGCACAGCTCATTCTGATGCACATCACATTCATGTCCTCGCTGCTTCCCGCATGTGCCACCACCCCGCGGCAAACATTTTTCTAAGTAAGGCGTAGCTATAATAATGGTACAGGTTTTTTATCTATTTAACAGCATTTTCATAACAACTTCATGAAAATGTAGCACAGTGATATAGTCACATGGTGCTGTATTATGAACTACACGTAGGCGTGACACTTGTATTTGTAAATGGTCACATTCTGTCATCCGTCTTGCGTTAGTTATCTGGCAATTGTTCGACTTGTTCTTATTTCATTTCATTTATTCAACCTTAAGGGCTCGAAGGCATTACATAAGGGGGGGTCGTACATCCAGGTTGCAAGTTTCTAAGCAATGTAACAATATGAGGGTGCACACTGATTACAATGAATAAGCAAATAAAGAACACAAGCAGAAATAACATGCAGAACAAAACAAAGAAAATATTATAGGCGATAAATAAATTCTGGGAGTAGAGTAAAACAACTATAAATGCAAGAGTTAATGTGCTGTTATGACATTGCATTTGGGTTTTGGAAAACAGTTAGTTTTTGCGAAATGTTGAGCGGTCCCTGCAAGAAACAATATTATCTTGCAGCACATTTAAGAGTGTTACGGTATGGGGGAAAAATGAGCTGCTCATCGCCGTCGTCCGGCATTTTATGGTCATCAGAGGGTGCGTATGGGACAGGCGAGATGACGTTCTTAATGGGCGTTTTAGGAGAGGGTGTCCCGACTTTCTAAAGTAAAAGAATGTGTGAAGGAGGCAGATACGAGAGGTTATGCGACATGAAGCGAGCGATGCGAGTGACAATGTTTGTTTTAGTGTGGTTACGCTGATATGCCTTGAATATTGTGATGTAATGAAACGAGCTGCGCGATTTTGAACGGCTTCCAAATCATCGGTGAGATAAGCTTGTGAAGGATGCCAGATGGATGACGCATACTCGAGTTTTGGTCGCACGTATGTCAGATATGAGAGTTTCTTTATGTCAGGAGATGCAGATGCAAGTTACGTCGTAAGTAGCCTAATGTGCGGGAAGCTCCAGAACGAATGGTTTCAATGTGTTTCACCTATGATAGTGTTGATGTCAGATGAACTCCTAAATACTTGTAAGTGCACGTGTGATCAATGGGAACCGAATTAATGCAGTAGGTTTCATGTGAGGTGTTGTGTTTACGTGTGAAGGTCATGACCTTGCATTTAGTGAAGTTTAGGAGCATATGCCACTTTTTGTAACATGAAGTAATGGTGTCAAGGTCGTGTTGTAGGGCGATTGCATCGTTAGGGGATTGAAAGGGGTTATAAAGAACGCAGTCATCGGCAAATAGGCGCAGCTGTGATTTAATGTTACTAGGAAGGTCATTCACGTATATAAGAAATAATAGAGGTGATAAGCCGGCGCCCTGAGGAACACCGGAAGTGACGCTGGTAAGGGTTGATTGGAAATTGTTAGCAACGTTAAACTGAACGTGTCCTGTTAAGAAATGCTCGAGCCATTTTATAATGTTTGGGGGAATACCAAGAGCGGATAATTTGATGAGCAAGTGCTTGTGGGGTACTCAAACGAAGGCCTTGGAGAAATCTAAGAAAATTGCATCTATTCATACGTGATCATCTATTCGCAGTAGTATGTCATTAGTAAATTCAGCCAGTTTTGTTTTGCAGGAAAGATACTTTCGGAAACCATGTTGAAAAGGGTAGAAAAAACTGACTGATTCTGGGTAAGTCATAAGAGTTGATGCTATAATATGCTCAAGGATTTTAGATGGAACACTAGTTGAGCTAATCGGGCGGTAGTTAGCGGGGCTTTCGCGCTGGCCTGCTTTAAAAATGGGTACTATTTTAGATTTCTTCCAATCATCTGGCAAGGTTCCTGTGTTTAAAGATTGGTTAAATATAAGGTACAAAAATTTGCTTGAGAGTGCTATAGTGTTTTTAATAATTTAGAGTTGTCATCGCAGCCAGCCGAGGATGATATTTTAAGAGAGTGGATTAGGTTGCATACGCCATCCAGGTTTACTTGTATTTCAGGCATGGTCTGAGAAGAGAACTCTCGTATAGGTTCGACAGCGCAGGTATTGGGTATGTGAAATACGGACGTGAAAAAGGTATTTAGAACAGCAGCGGTTTCCTCGGAGCTTATCGGTTCATCATCAGAGTTAACAAGATTTATATGGTTAGTTTGCGGCTTCGCAGATATTACACGCCAGAATTTATTTGGGTTTGAACGAAGAATTGTAATCAGGTCAGCAGAAAAAAATTTATCCTTGGCTGCAATAACTGCCTTTTTGTATTGAAGTTCACACAGGCGGTGGCGATTCTATGCTTCTAGAGACCTGTTCCAGCCAAGCGCAACAAGCATCGCCTTATGGTCGGTGAAATGTCAACTGCAGTACTTCACTTCTTTAACGGTGTCGCGAGAATGAAAAGCTAAATCCATGCAAGTGTTGTGGTTTGTTGAAATGGCATTTTCTTGAAGG